CTTCGAAAATTACCATTGCACTTAAGATTCTCAATATATCTGTTACCTTCAAAAACTTGCCATGTACTGTTGTAATTCCTCCACTTTCACCGCTTTAGTCTTTACCCCCTCATCTATGGGCAGCAGCTGATTGTGTTCTTTCAGTATTTATCTGTTTGTGTTTACTAGGATTTTATATAAATGAAGCAATACAGTATTTTTTTGTATGACTTGTTTCACTGAAAATAATTATTTTGGGATTCATCTCTGATTGTTGGCAAAATTTTGGGTATCACAAATACAGATGCATTGGAATTAAATGTACAAGTTTTGTGGTTTTCATTTGCATTATTACGTGATTAGTGATGCTAATAATTTTTTCATGTTTGCTTTCCAAAGTGTTCTGTGGAACTCTAAGACACTGTGATCTGTAGAAAGCCCGTTTAGCCTCCTTGAGGATGAAAGCCATCAGAGTCAGTCCAGCTAAGCCTGCTCTTCCAGCCAACCCACTAGCTACATGAATGAGTACAGGGGATCCCAGTGGAAGAACTCTTTAGTATATCTACGGAATCACAAGTCATACATTATTGGTTTTTTTTTTTTTAAAAGATTTATTTATTTAATTGAAAAGCAGAGTTACAGAGAGGCAGGGGGGGGGGGAGAGAGAGAGAGAGAGGAAGGGTGAGAGAGAGAGAGAGAGAGAATCTTCCATCTGATGGTTCACTCCCCAAATGGCTGCAATGGCTGGAGCTGGGGCGATCTGAAGCCAGGAGCAAGGCGCTTCTTCTGGGTGTCCCACGTGGGTGCAGGGGCCCAAGGACGTGGGCCATCTTCTACAGCTTTCCTAGGCCATAGCAGAGAGCTGGATTGGAAGTGAAGCAGCTGGAACTCGATCCTGCACCCATATGGGATTCAGACACTGCAGGTGGTGACTTCACCCACTACACTCTGGTCCCAAATTATTCTTGTTTTAAAACACTAAGATGACTTATTACACAGCCTTAGATACAGATAATCTGGACTTTCTTAGTCTCATTTCTATGTTTCTTACTTTCTATGATAGTCCTTCCTGTCAGAGTAAGTGATATTACCAACTACCCTGCTGTTCATGTTAAAAACCGAATCATTATCTTCTTGATACCTCCTCCTCCTCCCTTCCCTACACCCTCTTATTACAAATCCCATCAATTATTTCTCCATTACTTAGCTCAGAATACTTAGTATTCTGTTTTCCATCTCCACACCATGATAATCCAAGTCTCTTCATCTCACCTCTTACCTGAATTACCATAAATGGTGTTAGTTCCTCTAATCCCTTCTCAGCAATACAGATATTGTGTGTGTGTGTGTGTGTGTGTGTGTGTGTGAGAGAGAGAGAGAGAGAGAGAGACAGAGAGAGACAGAGAGATGCTGAACAGATCATGGTTTTCCCATTGTGCTTAATAGAGCCCACTGCTTCTGTAGTTCGAACTTCATACAATGGCACAGACTGCACGCCCTGGTGACTGCAGCCTCCTCAGTCTCAACACGTGTTCTCTGCCTTGCTTCCTAGACTCTGACTGTACTGACATTTTAGCAGTACCTCATTTCTGTGAAATTTCACTGATTCTCTTTGCCCCCTTTGGTTGACTCTGTGTAGAGGATTCAATCGTACCTACGTCTGTCACGCACAAAGTACAGATATGTAGAACCTCAGAGTGCAACCTTACCTGGCGTTCAGGTCTTAGCAAGTGGACCTAAGGTAAAGATCTTGTATTGACACCACCTTGGTTAAGGTGACAGGTGTCCTCAGTAGATACCTAGAAGGGAAAGACGGACACAGGAAGAAGGCCACTTGAAGACAGAGGCAGAGGTTGGAGTTCTGTGGCCACCAGCCAGGAAACACCAGAAGCCATGAGATCCTGGAAAACCCCAGAGGACCCTTCCATAGATCCTTTGGAGGGAGCCTGGCACTGCTATCACCTTGATTTCAGACTTTTTATTTGAAAGCATTTTTTAAGGTAAAATTCATATAAAAGTGACCATTTAAAAGTATGTTTCAGCAGCATTTAGTGCATTTATAGTGTTGTGCTACTGTCACCTCTATCTAGTGATCAGGTATTTTTCTTAGCCACAAGAAAGCCTCGTATCCATTAAGCAGTTTCTCCTTTTCTACTTCGGCCTTGCTCTTGGCAATAATATACATTCTGCCTCTAGATTTATGTATTATTGTTATTTCATATAAACATAGTCATATAGCATGACCTGTGCGTCTGACTTTTCACTTTAGTATGTTTTTGTGGTTAATCCATGTTGTAGCATTAAACAGTACTTCATTCTTTCCTGTTGCTGAATAATACTATGTTTTGTGGTTTGTTTGGTTAGTCATTAGTAGTTGTATATTTGGGTTGTGTTGTGTAGACTTTTTGGCTATTACGAATAGTACTACTCTTGACATTCATATACATCATGTGTTCGTTCAAATACTTTTTTTTTTAATTTCTTTTGGGTATATGCTTGGAGTAGACCTTCTTGATCATGTAGTAATTCTGTTTAACTTTTTGAGGAATTGCTAAATTACCCACAATGTTTATAATTTTAACATTTCTATCAGCAATGTTTGAGAGGTCCACTTTGTCCTCAACATGCCAATATTTGTTATTTTGCTCTTTCTCTGTCTTTGTCTCTCTTTCTCTGTCTCTCTGTGTATGTGTGTGTGTGTATGTGTGTTGAGAGTGATATTTCATTGTGGTTTTGATTTGGCTTTCCCTGATGATCAATGTTGAACACATCTTTTCATGATGTTTAATTTTTTAAAAAAATTTATTTTATTTATTTTGAAAGGCAGAGTTGGAGGAGTGGGGAGGGGAAGAGAGAGAGAGATCTTCCATTCAGTGGTTCACTCTCCAAATGGCCACAACAGCTAGGGCTGGGCCAGGCCAAACCCAGGAGTCAGGAGCTTCATCTGGGTCTGCCAAATGGGTGCAGGAGCCCAAGCACTTGGTCCATCTTCCGCTGCTTTCCCAGACACATTAGCAGGGAGCTGGATCAGAAGTGGAGCAGCTGGGGCTCAAGCTGTTGCCCACCATATGGGACGCTGGTATTGTGGGTGATAGCTTTACTCGTTATACCACATTGCCAAGCTGCCCTCTCCCCCTTTTAAAATTTATTTTATTTATTTGGAAGGCAGGGTTAGAGGGCGAGAGAGGGAGATACAGAGGGATCTTCCATCTGGTGGTTCACTCCCCAAAAGGCCACAGCAGCCTGGGCTGGGCTAGGCCGAAGCCAGAAGCTTCATCCAGGTCTCCCACATGGGGTCAGGGGCCGAAGAACTTGGGTCATCTGCTGCTGCATTCCTAGTTGCATTAGCAAGCAGCTGGGCCAGAATAGAAAATTTAATTAGCAAGCAGCTGGATTGGAAGCTCAACAGCCAGGTCTTGAACTGGTGCCCATATGGAATGCTAGTGTTGCAGGTGACAGCTTACTCCACAATGCTGGTCCCATGATGTTTAATCTTCTTTAGAGAAAGAGCTATTCATGTCTTTTGTCTATTTTTAAATTGAGTCAATTGTCTTTCTGCTATTGGTTTTGAAGTTTTAGTGCTTATGTTTAGGATGTTGGTCTTGGCTCAGTTTTGATTCATTTTGAGTTAGTTTTTGTGCATGGGAATAGGTGTAGGACCGCTGACTGTTATCACCTGCAGTACCCATTAGCATTATGAAACATGAAATCTCTGCAACAGACGTCTCAGTTGGTTTTCTGGGTAGCTTTATCCTCACGTAGTCAATCAGTGGTAATTTCCTGCTTAAGCTTTTAATTGAAAACTGTCTGCTAATGTAAAATGTTTTCCCTAATTAACTGATCCTGTTTTATCCAGTGTGTGGTAGGGAAACTTGAGCTACATTAGACATCTATAGTAGGTCTGGATTGTTTAATTGTAAAATTGTCAGGGGTGGTTAGTAACTCTTGAAGTTTATTTGTAGGTTTTAGGTTTTGTCACTGGCTTAGAGCATTGATTTAGTTATTGAAGTGTAGTTCATGGGAACATGAACTTGTTATTTTTGCATTCTAATCTTGCTTTATTTGATAATTAATTCCTTGGCTATGTTACTTACTTATTGAATACTGTTCTGTGGTTAGAAATTCTCACTTGGTTAATCCTCCGCCTGCAGCACTGGCATCCCATATGGGTGCTGGGTTCTAGTCCCGGTTGCTCCTCTTGCAGTCCAGCTCTCTGCTGTGGCCCAGGAAGGCAGTGGAGGATGGCCCAGGTGCTTGGGCCCTGTACCCGCATGGGAGACCAGGAGGAGGCACCTGGCTCCTGGATTCAGATCGGCACTGCACTGGCCGTAGTGGCCATTTAGGGGGTGAACCAACGGAAGGAAGACCTTTCTCTCTGTCTCTCTCTCTCACTGTCTATAACTCTACCTGTCAAATAAAAAAAAAAAAAAAGAAATTTTTCCTCACCTTTAATCTGCAGTATTCAGGATGATACAGTTTCTGGGATTTACTAGATTAAACAAATGGGTGAGTTGTTTGGTATATTAGTTAGGTCACCATTTCAGACTCCTGCATCCCGAGTTGGAGTACCTGGTTCAATCCTTGCTTCCAGTACGGCTTCCTGCTAATGGGCACCCTCGAATAGCTTAAGTAATAGCTTAAGTACTTGGGTCCCTGCCACCCACATGGGAGACCTGGATTCAGTTCTGGGCTCCTTCCTGGTTTTGCCTTGACAGCTCAGGTTGTTAAGAGCATTTGGGGAGTGAACCATTAGATGAGCCATCTTTCTTCGACTGTTTATGTCTCTCTGCCTTTCAAAGAAAATTAAAACAAAGAAATTGAAAAAAAAAAAAAAGTGGTGATTGTGTGGTAGCCTTTATAGGACTCTTGTGTTTTATTCTTTACTTTTCAAAAAATAATCTTCCAGTGGAGAGGGGTCCAGATAGACCTTCTGTTTAATTGTCAAGTGTTTTAACTTTAAGAGTTGTCTAATTATTTGTTTTAAACAGAGGAAGATATGATTTGGTTGTTTCTTTTTTTAGTATTTGATTCTGAAGCTTGAAAGGCCTGCTATAGTTCAGAATATCACATTTGGAAAATATGAGAAAACTCACGTCTGCAACTTGAAGAAATTCAAAGTCTTTGGTGGAATGAATGAAGAAAATATGACAGAGCTGTTGTCTAGGTGAGTTGTGGTTGTGAGGAGAGAAGTTGTCTTCTAAACAAACTGCAGTTCTAGTTTCATCTCTTTCAAAAGAGAAAAGAATATTTCTCCTATTTTTTAATACTGTGGCTTAACTTTTTTTTTCCCTTTAAACTACTGGGTACTCAGTGTTATCAAGCAAAAATGAATAAAACTTTTTGATATTTTTTATTTTCAATTGTATTTTTAAAATGTTAATGACTTGAGCTTTAATGAAAACCTTTGCTATAAAAATATAGTCTCTATCCAAAACGTTGGTTCACTGCTGTAATCCAGAAGTAATCTTCTAAGAGTTTATTGTAAGTGGGGCACTGAAAAAAGGAAGTTCTTGTAAATGGAAAAGCTACATGATTTAACATAGTGCTTGCTGCAAGGAGGGAGGAGGAGCTCAGGAACCATCAGAAATAAAGGTGTTAATTTGCCCCTCAGAGAGTGAAAAATCATATAGCAGTGGAATATGCAAATAAAACCATGCAGATATAGAATATATTTGTGGGGCCAGCACTGTGATATAGCGGGTAAAGCTGCCCAGCACATCTTATGTGGGTGCTGGCTGGTTTGAGTCCCGGCTTCTGATGCAGCCCTCTGCCATGGCCTGGGAAAGCAGTGGAAGATGGCCCAAGTCCTTGGGCCCCTGTACCCCCACGAGAAGACCCGGTGGAAGCTCCTGGCTCCTGGCTTTGGATCGGCACAGCTCCTGCTGTTGTGGCCAGTTGGGGAGTGAACCAGTGGATGGAAGGCCTCTCCTTTCTGTGTGTAATTCTGACTTTCAAATACATAAATAAATCCTTAAAAAAATATATATTTGTGACATGGTAGATCCCATTAACTCAGTACTTTAAGTAAATATTACTCCAATACTGCATTGATTTTAGTCAGGAAGTATGTTAGGGCATAATCAGAAGGTGACTTTCACATTTCAAAAGTTGGATTTCAAAAAGTTGAAAATGTATAATTTAAAGCTAAGTTTATTTTGGTGAAAAATTAAAAAGAAAAATTCAGGCATAATGTTATCACAGTATACATTTTCCAGGAAGACTTTTAAGACTACTTGTATGCAAGGAATTAAAAATTTACTGGCACCAAAATGTTTTTAAAGATTTATTTATTTGAAAGGTAGAGTTACAGAGAGAGGTAGAGACAGAGAGGTCTTCAATCGATTGGTTCACTCCCCAAATGGCCACATTGGCCGAAACTGAGCCGATCTGGAGCCAGGAGCTCTTTTTGGGTCTCTCACGTAGGTACAGGGGCCCACTGCTTTCTCAGGTGTGTTAGGAGGGTGCTGGATTGGAAGTAGAGCACCTGAAACTAAAACCGGTGCACATATGGGATGCCCACACTGCAGGCCAGGGCTTTAACATGCTGCGCCACAGTGCCGGCCCCAAAAATAAGCTGCCTTTTTTTTTTTTTTTAAAGATTTATTTATTTATTTGAAAGGCAGAGTTACAGAGAGGCAGAGGCAGGGGCAGAGAGAGAGAAAGAGAGGTCTTCCATCCATTGGTTCACTCCCCGGGTGACTGCAGTGGCAGGAGCTGTGCCGATCCAAAGCCAGGAGCCAGGAGCTTCTGGGTCTCCCACGCAGATGCAGGGGCCCAAGGACTTGGGCTATCTTTTACTGCTTTCCCAGGCCATAGCAGAGAGCTGGATCGAACGTGGAGCAGCTGAGACTCAAACTGGCCGTCCATATGGGTTGCTGGCACTACAGGCGGTGGCTTTACCTGATACACCACAGCACTGGTCCCCAAAATACTCTTAATTCCATTTTCTGCTAACTTATGATGTATCCTTGTTTATATGTCAATTCTAATTGTTTAAGTGGAGTAGTGCTGTGAGTTCCTTTAGGATAAAGCATGTTTGTCTTTGAATTTTTGTTTAAAAGGAACATTAACATCCCATTCAGAAACAAATGATTTAATTCTTAGACAAATTCTCATATTTGACTTTTAAGTTGTCAGTTATCAATGTGACTTTTTTTTTTAGTTTTTCTTCTTACCACCTGAAACTTCAGTTATACATTAATGACACTAGGTCCTGTAATACATGTCTGTGCACTGTTGCCAACTCGTTAATACTCAGTGTTTTTCATTAGCTGTCAAATAATTAATAGAATATAGTTATGATGCAGTTCATTAGAATATAAAAGTTTTAACTTTATTTGCATGTTGGACCACTTAGTCATTTATTGTGAGCATTGTTTTAAACTGAAAATTTGAGTATGACATCTATATTTTAGTGTATTTCTTAATTATGAAGTCAGATTTAATAACTTTTTTTTCTCTTTCAGTGGCTTAAAGAATGATTATAACAAAGAAACATTCACCTTGAAGCATAAAATTGATGAACAGATGTTCCCTTGTCGATTCATAAAAATAGGTAAGGTTTTAGCATTCAGGAATGGAAAAATTTTTTTTTATATCATCAGTCAGGAAACTATAGCCCATGGACCAAATCCTGCAGGCCTCCTCTTTGTTTAAAATAAAAAACTATGGGAGCACTGCTCTGCTGGCTTGTTTATGTTACCTGTGGTTATTTTGTGCTGTAAAGGCAGAACTAGCTGCAAGAGTTCAGTAGTTACTCACTAAGCTCAAAAGGGTTGCTATTTGATCCTTTACAGAAAATGTTGTTAGTTTTAAAACTTTAGCATTCTAAAACGAAAACCAAAATATTGAAATGTTTCTTAAGGTAGTATATTATGGTTACTTTTTATTATTTCTTTTTTTATTGAAATATTGGTCATATTCACTAAATTCATTTCATGACTTACTAGTGTGTTGTAAACTGCTGTTTGACCATTACTACTTTAATGAAAGGATAACCTTAAAGGCCCAAACCTCACATATTGATTTGGTGGAATAGAGTGTTTGCTAGTCTGTCAAGAGCCGTTCTGTTCTATCTTGATGCAGTAATTCAGTTGTGCAGAAGGAATACCTGAAGTCTTATTGAAGATTGCTTAGAGAGGGAAAGCCATCTTGGAAATAGTTGGGTGTCCAGTGTGTTACTTTCTTTTGTAACTGTAATTTCTTTTGTTAAATAATTGTAAATAAAATCTGTTTCCTGTTCTATTTAAGAATTTGTGAGCAAGCAAATTTTTTGGATAAATTTAACTCTTGGTTATGTACTTCTTCTGTGCTAGTGAGTAACTGTTTCTTTAGTGTTTGGATCACCCAGTTCCTCCAGTGTCTTTCGTAGCTTTAATAATTCTGTGATCTTTTATTTCAGATATATAAGCAGTGGAAATTAGAACCCTTCCCAGCTCTTTCTGTTAGCCTTTTATTTTATTTTGGTGAATTTTTGCTTGTGCATTTTTAATTTCCCCCAACTTTATTAAAGTCTAATTAGTGAATATAATAATTTTATATGTTTATGATGTGTAGTATAATTTTGTGATGTAGGCATACATTGGGAAGCTGATTAACATATCCTTCAACACACAATTTTTGTAGTGAGGGTTTTTTTTTTTTTTTTTTTTTTTTTTTTGACAGGCAGAGTGGACAGTGAGAGACAGAGAGAAAGGTTGGTTCACCCTCCAATGGCCACCTCGGCTGGCGCACCGCACTGATCCGATGGCAGGAGCCAGGTGCTTCTCCTGGTCTCCCGTGGGGTGCAGGGGCCCAAGCACTTGGGCCATCCTCCACTGCACCCCCTGGCCACAGCAGAGAGCTGGCCTGGAAGAGGGGCAACCGGGACAGAATCCGGTGCCCCGACCAGGACTAGAACCCGGTGTGCCGGCGCCGCAAGGCAGAGGATTAGCCTAGTGAGCCGTGGCACTGGCCTAATGTGGTGAGGCTTTTAAGATCTACTTTCTGAGCAGTTTTCAAGTATGCTGTACAGTAGACTCTAGCACTCACTTACCCTGAAATCTTATCTCTTTTACCAACATTTCCCTCTTCTCAGCAGCATTCTAACTGTAGAACACAATATCTTTTCTTTTTTTTTTGACAGAGTGGACAGTGAGAGAGAGAGACATAGAGAAAGTTTTCCTTTTCCATTGGTTTACCCCCCAGTGGCCGCTATGGCCGGAGCTACACCGATCCTAAGCCAGGAGCCTGGTGCTTCCTTCTGGTCTCCCATGCAGGTGCAGGGCCCAAGCACTTGGGCCATCCTCCACTGCCCTCCTGGGCCACAGCAGAGAGCTGGACAGGAAGAGGACCAACTGGGACTAGAACTTTGGGTGCCGGCGCCGCAGGCGAAGGATTAGCCTATTGAGCCACGGCGCTGGCTGATATCTTTTCTTGACCTGGAGTTAATCTTATAGTATTCAGGCAGGATGTTAATTGAAGCTTTCCAGGTAATTATAGCCACTGATTAGCTCATTTAATATTTAGGACACTACTATTTAGGTAAATTTGTATTTCTTTTCTGTTAAAAAATGTTAATACTGGTCTGTAGTCTATTTGCTTTTCAACCCCTTTTTAACATCTCTTGATAATTTTTGTTTGAAAGTTATGTAAGCAAAATGTGAAACTAAAAGCCTGTGTGTCAGGTTGGCATCTTTGGTTTATCACCATATTTACTGAAAAAAAAAAAAATCAACTATTGGAGCAGGTGTTTGGCACAGTGGTTAAGTTGCTGCTTGTGATGCCTTAGCCCATATGCCTGGGTTTGGATCCCAGTTCCTCTGCTTCTGCTCCAGCGTCCTGCCAGTGCACACTCTAGGTGATTGCAGGAGTGGCTCGAACACTGCCATCCAAGTGGGCAGCCCTTGCTGGAGGTTCTGCTTCAGCCTGGCCCAGCTCTGCTACGTAGTCATTTGGAGAGTAAACCAGAAAATGCAGGAGATCTTGATCTTTCTCTCTCTCTCTCTGTCCCTCCCTCCCCATCACCTTGCCTTTCATATAAAATGCAAAGAAATAAAAATTAAGAAGATGTCAGAACACAGTATACAGAAAGTTTACAAATATTCACAGAAACTGTTCTGCCGAAGGGCATGAATTATGGTAGCTGTCTTTGGTGGTGGTTTAATGCAGATATTTGTTGAACTGGGCAGGCTAAATTGTTACAGTTAGAAGAAGAAATGTGTTTGAATAATTAATATTTACATTCTGTAGTGATATATTTGAAAGATCTTGCTTTATTTAAAAAGAATCTTGTCTTTTTTTTTTTTTTTAAGAAAGCTTTTATTTAATGAATGCAAATTTCATAGTTACAGCATTAGGGATAAAGTGCCCCCCCCCCCCGCCCACCCTCCCCCACTCCTGTCCCACCTCTATTCTCTCTCCCATCCCATTCTTCATTAAGATTCGTTTTTAATTAACTTTATATACAGAAGACCATTTTATACTAAGTAAAGGTTTCCGCAGTTTGCACCCCACACAGACACACAAAGTATAAAGTAATGTTTGGAAACAACTTTTACCGTTAATTCTCATAGTATAGTGCTTTAAGGACAGAGGTCCTACATGGGGAGCAAGTGCACAGTGACTCCTGTTGTTGATTTAACAATTGACACTCTTATTTATGACATTAGTGATCACCCGAGGCTCTTGACATGAATTGCTATGGAAGCTTTTTGTGTCTATAAACTCTGTCAGTATTGACAGGACCATAAGCAAAGTGAAAGTTCTCTCCTCCCTTCAGAGAAAGGTACCTCCTTCTTTGATGGCCCCTTCTTTCCATTGGGATCTCACTCACAGAGATCCTTCATGTAGATTTTTTTAAAAGATTTATTTTATTTATTTGAAAGAGTTACAGAGAGAGACAGAGAGAGAGGTCTTCCATCCACTGGTTCACTCCCCAGATGGCTGCAGCGGCTGGAGCTGCACCCATCCAAAGCCAGGAGCCAGGAGCTTCTTCTGGGTCTCCCAAACGGGTGCAGGGGCCCAAAGACTTGGGCCATCTTCTGCTTTCCCAGGCCATAGCAGAGATCTGGATTGGAAGAGGATCCGCTGGGTCTTGAACCGGCGCCCATATGGGATGCGGGCGCTTCAGGGCAGGGCTTTAACCCGCTGCGCCACAGCGCTGGCCCCATGTAGATCGTTGGTTTGGTTTGGTTTGGTTTGGTTTGGTTTGGTTTGGTGGTGGTGGTGGTGGTTGTTGTTTGTTTGGTTTGGGTTTTTTTTTTTTTTTGCCACAGTGTTTTGGCTTTCCATGCCTGAAATGCTCACCTGGGCTTCTCAGCCAGATCCGAATACAAAGAAGCTCATCTCGAACACACTTTCTAAATACAATCAGCATTCAGTTTATCCATAGTAAGGGGAGGGAACAGAAGCAAGACTACCTCAATAACAGGCAATCTCGAAGTCATTGGGTTTGCATCCAGTGTAATTTTATTTGTAACATACATAGCTTTTTCCATTGAATTTTGTTTAAACTGAATTTAAAGTAAGTTTGGTCACAAGTTGTTAACAGGGAAAAATAAGCCCACATTTTTATTGTGTGGCAGGTTTTAGGCTTCAGAATCTATCATGGATAGTCCAGAGTCCCAGCCAGCACACTACACTGATACCACTGGCATCTTTCCTTCAGGTCTGTTTCACTTCCCTTCCTTACGTTACCTTTTCTGTAAAAAGAGGATGATACCTTTGCTGTCTGATGGTAAGGTAGCTTACCTTGTTGCACATGTCTTGAGTTCTGTTCTAGGTTATGATCTGTGACAGTCTTTTAAATGTTAATGTCATATTTATAAAGGAAATGCTTCTATTTTGAACATCTCTCAGCTAAATCCTAAAGCAACGGTCCTTTTGTTCTTTGTGTGTTGTACTCTTTCTATCTCAGGCGACAGGCAGAGTGGACAGTGAGAGAGAGAGAGAGACAGAGAGAAAGGTCTTCCTTTGCCGTTGGTTCACCCTCCAATGGCCGCCGCGGCTGGCGTGCTGTGGCCGGCGCACCGCGCCGATCCGGTGGCAGGAGCCAGGAGCCAGGTGCTTCTCCTGATCTCCCATGGGGTGCAGGGCCCAAGCACCTGGGCCATCCTCCACTGCACTCCCTGGCCACAGCAGAGGGCTGGCCTGGAAGAGGGGCAACCGGGACAGAATCCAGCGCCCCGACCGGGACTAGAACCCGTTGTGCCGGCGCCGCTAGGCGGAGGATTAGCCTAGTGAGCCGCGGCGCCGGCCCTCTTTTGTTTCTTTAAGATTTATTTTATTTATTTGGATGACAGAATTACAGAGAGAGATGGAGACAGAGAGAGAGCTCTTTCATCCGCTGGTTCACTCCCCAAATGGCTGCAACAGCTAGAGCTGAGCCGATCTGAAGCCAGGCGCTTCCTCGGGTCTCCTGCATGGGTGCAAGAGCCCAAGGGCTTGGGTCATCCTCCGTTGCTTTCTCCTGTGCTTTAGCAGGGAGCTGGATTGGAAGTGGGACAGACAAGACCATATGGGATGCTGGCACTGCAGGCTGGCCTTTAACCTGCTTCACCAGAGCGCCAGCCCCAC